ATATAAGCTTTAAACACATATATACATTTCATACTTAATCAAAATCTACCTAAAACAATGCTGAAAATGAAAGAAAATAAGCAAAAACATGAAGAACAACAAGAGAGCAACACTAGAGAGCAAGCCTATGGAAGGGTGGCTAACCCTTCCACCTTCAACAAGGTTCAAATCACTTTAAAGCCCAAAATATTCTAAAAAACAGTACTGAAATGAAGAACAAGAAGCTTAAAAGAAAAGGAAATGGAAAAAGTTAAAGAATCAACCTCTAGAGAAGAGGAAGAGTTTCTTGGTTCACAAACTTCAAGCAAATACTCTGAAGTTATTGAAATTAGAATTAAAGCTTCAGCCAAAAGCTTCAAGTTCAAGCTTTAATGGTTTATCTATATTTCAAGAGGGTAGAGAAGCTTTGGGAAATTGTCTAAGCCTTTGGGAAATCGTTCTAACCCTAAACTCTAAGGTAAGGTGCTGTATTTATAGACTTTCAACTATCTTCAACGAAAATATCTGCAAAAGAGATAGCTGGTTCAAATCCTGTGCATGGGAGTAGCTTGCTGCTGCAAAATATCTGTTCTTTGGTGCACATTGCCGACTAGCCCATAGAGTGTACAGCCGACTAAATAAATGTGGCCAAGTCTTCCTATTTTTGAGTGGTCTAGCTAGAAAAAAGGGTTTTGGTATAAATAGGGTACAAGGTTTGGTTTTGAAGCTCAAAACTGAATTCTTTTGCTAAAAATTTGTACAGTATAACATGTTATCATCAAGTGTTTGGAATGAAGCGCCCAGGTCTTAAGGCCAATCAAAAATGGGGTGTCTACACCATGTTGCTAAGATAAGGCCTTTCTTGAAGATGGAGTTCTGTCAGTCAAATCTAGATGAGTTTTTGGAGGAACCGAGAGATCCTTTGAAAGTGGATAAATAGCTCTAACAGATGGTAAAGACGTTCGAGATGCTTGGCATTGAGGACGATGGGCTGAGAGTGACCTTGACATCTATCCAGCTGAAAAGAGATGTGGGTCAATGGTGGAAGTTTGTGCGGGGGCACATCGGGGTGACTTGGGAGGCCTTTGTCAACGCCTTCCAGGACAAGTTTTTGCCTCTCGCTGTAAGGGAGAAGTTAAGCGAGTAGTTCTTGAAACACAAGCAACTTAAAACACCGATTGCAGAGTTTGAGGCTACCTTCACTAGTTTGTCGAGGTTTGCACCAGAGTTGGTAACGACAGAGGAATGTCTTTTCTTGGAGTTTGAGAAGCGGCTAAGAAGCAAACTCCTTTTCAAGGTGCCTACGTCCATGATTAGGGATTACAATCGTCTAGTGGAGGCGACGGCTCACTTAGAGACCATGATTCAGACTGAGGAAGAAAGGATGAGAGGCTCGAGGCAGAGAAGTTAAGAGGTTCAGGGAGAGACTCAAGACAGTAAGAGACAGAGGGGTTCTAACCCACAGCAGTCCCAAGGAGCACAGTCTTGTTCCACTTTTCCTATATTGAGTTCTAGGTCAGGGAGAGGTGGTCATGGAGGGATCATATGTTTCAAGTCTGGCCAGCTGGGTCACAAGTCAGTGGTTTGTCTGCAGAAAAAAGTAGGGCAATAGTCTGCACTGTCTATAGCTCGTTCTCAGAGCCCAAGTCAGGAGAGAGGAAAGCCACCTACCTATTATCGGTGTGGGCAGTCAAGGTATGTGAGGAGGTTTTTCCCTCAGTCGGGTGGCACATTTGGTGCATTTGGTCAGAGGCAGAGCCATTAGCCTACACAATCAGCTCAGGCCTCCAGGGCCAATTATGGAGCCTCTTTGGCTCAATCAGTGCATGAGACTTTTGCTCCGAGGGGTGAGCAGGTTGAGCAGAGACCTACAGGGCATGTGTATGCTATCACCATGCCAGATTTAGTGCAGACACCTACGGTAATGATAGGTAACTTCTTATTTTGTAATTTTATTGCCAATGTGTTGATTGATACATGTGCATCCCATTCTTTTATCTCATCTGCATTTGTGTTAGCATTTGGGTTAAAAGTGGCTCGGTTAGCATCTCCACTCAAGGTAGAGTCGCCAGTTGGTGGTGAGGTTGTGTTGGACCAAGGGTGTCGGCGTTGTGAGATAGAGGTTGTCGGTCGCCCACTTCGTTTTGCATTTGTATTGATTGATATGTTAAGCTTTGATGTTATATTGGGCATAGATTGGTTGTCATCCGATCGAGTTGTTATAGACTGTTACCGTCATATTGTTACTGTATGTACCTCAAGTGGTGATTGTTTTCATTTCTTAGGAGACCAGGTTGATAGAGGTTTATTGCCAGTGTATAATCTGCAGGGTCGAGGTGAGCTTAGTCTCCTTCTTGCTACATATTTAGGTGTTGAGAGTGATAAGGTTCTAGTTGAGTTGCCGAGGGTAGTTTGTGACTACCTGGACATCTTTCTTGAGGATCTCACTAGTTTACCACCTCACCGTGAGATAGAGTTCTCTATTGATTTAGTGCCTGGCACATGCCTGATTTCTATGGCATTGTATAGATTTGCACCTACTGGGTTGAGTGAGTTGAAGATTCAACTCTAGGGATTGTTAGATAAGGGTTTTATCCGCCCTAGTACTTCACCTTGGGGAGCACTGGCTCTTTTTGCCAAGAAGAATGATGGTACATTGTCATTTTGTATTGATTACCGAAAGTTGAACTGAGTAACTATTAAGAACAATTACCCAATGCCTTGTGTAGATGATTTGTTTGACCAATTAAAGGGGTCTTGCTGCTAAAAAACAGCATTCTGTATGCTGTATGGCCATTATGAGTTCCTAGTGATGCCTTTTGGGTTAACTAATGCACCGGCCTTATTTGTGGATTTTATGAATTGAATCTTCTGTGAGTTCTTAGACTGTTTCGTAGTCATCTTTGTTGATGACATCTTGATTTACTCACTTTCTAAGGAGGAACACGAGGAACACTTGCGAGTTGTGCTTGTGTTTCTTAGTGCCCACAAATTGTATGTTAAGTTCGGGAAGTAATGTAAGCTGAAAGATACCACATTGAGGTCACTTAAGTTATATTTATAGTCTTTCAATTTTCGTTATTTGGTGGAGATGATGTGTTTTGTGCACTTGTACAGATTTGGTAGGAAATACACAAATTCAATCAAAAACGGTGCAAAAGCAAATTCTCTGTACGAGAAGCAAAAAATCTGAGCCAGCCACCTCACTGCACGTGTGGCCCACTACTGCTCGAACGGCCCACCTAGGGATGCGTGCACATAATTTTGGGTTTGTTCTACTGAGAATACAAGGAAGAAAAATAGGCCAACCTAGGGTTCAAAAATTATTCTAAGGAAAGGGAGGCTAGGGTTTAGAGAAGGTGATTTTCCTCAAGCTTCAAGGAGAACTTTCATGGGGGCTTGTTCCTCTTCCACCTCTTTCACCTCTTCCCACTCCTCCATGAGTGGCTAGGCTCTTCTTTCTAGGGCTTTGAGGAAACCCTAGCTATGTAATTAGGTTTTCTCTTTGCTTTTCGATTATGTAAAGGTTTGAACAAATTGTATGGTGTTTAAGAAGTTTCAAATTTATATTTTTCATTATCTCTTTAAGTATTCTACTTTCTGTGATTATTGATTGCTTTCCATAAAATGGTTTTCTATTCTTTCATATTCAAGGTATGAGACAAACCATACTACGAGGGACGAATCGTGTTTCTACCCTAGTTTAGAGCGAATGATTAGTACTACTTGAGATGGTTCATGCCCGTACATTGAACGTGATGATTTTCTTGATAAATGGTTCGAATTTGTAGTTATGAAGTATTATTCCGTTCGAACCATAACATAATTGAGTCTCAAATTGGAACCTTATTTATGTAACTCGTGTGAATTCATTACTCTAGGCTTTTCCACAATCAATAATTCTAATTTCAATTTTAATCGCTAGTTTAATCGCTTTGTTTAATTTAATTATTATTAGGTTATGAACAACCATCATTTCATAAAAATTAATTTGGGAATTTAGCATTTAAATTAGTTTAATTTCACAATTGTCCCTGTGGATCGATACCTGGACTTACCATTATTCTAAGGAATTTGTTTTAGTTTAGTGTTTATTTTTGGTGTGTGAAACGACCCATCAAATTTTGGCACCGTTGCCAGGGATTTTAGGCGAAATTAAGCAAATACTCGTAAACAGAGCACCAAAGTGCTAAAAAGAAAGAAAGAGCTTAAGTGGATTGGAGACAACGGTCTACACGTCAAGCACCCACAAGACGAGTAGAGCGCTTTTGTTTAACCGCTGCGCGTATTTTCTCCTTTGGTATTCTGTTTTCATAACTTAATGCATAGAGTCGAAACTTAATGTGCGTGTGTGAGTAGTGTATGCACAGGTGCCATTCTTGTCATTTGGACCTTGAACTAGAAATGACTCTTAGCAAACTTAGAGCCTCTTCCTGTGTTTCTAGGCTTGAATATCCATACCCATACCTTGAACCAATTGAGATGGCAAATCCAAATGGCCTGAATGGGCCCAACCAGACCCTTAAGAATTACTTCACACCCACTGCATATACATCACCATCATGCATCCAGTTACCCAACACCACTGCTGCTCATTACGAGATTAAGTCCAGCACCATCCAAATGCTCCTATCATTCCATGGACTAGCACCTGATGACCCTTACAAACATCTGCATGAATTTCTGGAAATTTGCTATACAGTGAGGAACTAGAACATCACCAATGAGGCCCTAATGTTGAGTTTGTTTCCATTTTCATAAAGGACAAAGCCAAACATTGGCTGATCTCCTTACCTGCTAATTCAATCATAACTTAGGACTAATTACAGCAGAAGTTTTTGGTGAAGTAATTTCCCATTGGTAAGACCAACCAACTTAGGCGAGCCATAACCAATTTTGCTCAAATTGATGGCGAGCAATTTTCCTCAAATTAATTTCATGAAACATGGGAAAGACTTCGTGTGTAACGCCCCAACTTCCAGGCCGTTAATTAAGTACAATATTACTACACAAATAGGATAGATAACCAAAACATCTTAATATACATATATAACCAGAGTTAGTATCACAGATCATTCGTTTATTTTCCATTGCAGGATTACAAAACATTGAAAACAAAAACAACTAGTCTAAGTCTTCAAATGAACCACCGCTCCAACACTTCATCGTATTTGCCTTTGCAATAACTTTCATCATTATAACTGCTTCACCACCTGGCATGACACGCCATGAGCTTGGAATGCCCAGTAAAAACACACACATCCCTATATCTTCTATCAACCAATCAACCATACATAGGACAAATTGGGTAACATAACATGCAAAATTACAACAAGGTTCTATGAATTAGGGGTTTGCCTAGACATCTAGGATCCCCCAAAGAGATCCTTCTACCCAACCACAAGGCTGAACACCGGATTACTCAGACTCCCCCTTTTGCTGCTTTGCAGACCTTACCACCTATGCCCACCTCCTGGTTATTTGCCGGTTAGTGACATTGATGGACCTCAAAAGGGACGGCCAAACAAGTGGGCTCGCTTACACCCAAATCGTGCCTAGGGCTCAGAGTCCTTTGGGGAAACTAACTTTTCTCTCAATCTACCCGATGGTTTTCACTCAAATAAAATCTGTTGGAAAGAGGACTCAGAGTCCTAAATTTTGATAGAAGAACCAACATGAGGTGATTTTTCTAGAATTTTATAAAATTGCTAAAAGTGGACTGTTTTTCAGAGATTCAGGACCAGATTTTTCAACAATTTATCCAAGCCCTAAAAACAAACAATTTGGAGCTAATAAAATTTTCACAAACTCTAAACACACCAAATATCCTACCATAAATTCAGATTTGAGAATTAAATAGATTTGATATTTATTTTAAATTAGGGAAGTTGCAGCAGTGCCAAATTTCACAAATTTGTAAGACAATGGCAATTGATCATATCCACGCTTCAACATACACCAAAAACCCTATTTACCATTAATTTGCAACACAAGAGGCATATTAGACAATAGAAGGAGATGGTGAAAGAATTGGAGAAGACAAAGGAGGGGTATGTTCTTACCTTTTTGAGAGTCACCCTTATTATTATTATTATTTTTCTTCTTCTTCTTCTCTACTTCCTTTGATCACACCTTCACCCTCTCACCCTCTCCCTAGGCTGTTGAAAATGTGTGGTGAAAATTGAGACAAAGTTCTCAATTTATAAGCCATGAAATAGGGCTAGCTTAATGACTAAGAAAAAGCATAAAAATCTAGATATTTTTCCATTGCTCAAATAAGTATTAAAATAAATAATAAAACTATTTAATTAAAGATATGTGTAGATATTTATTCAAAGATATTTATTTAAAGATATTTATTTGCTCAATTAAATAATAAAGGTTCAAAGAAAATAATAAAAATTCAAAGAACTAATAAATATTCAATTAGGCTAAAAATAAATTTGATGAATTAATTTAGAAACTAGGAGGTACATAAATAAAAGCCAAGTGTTAGGGTATTTCCAAATATAAAAATGGCATTCTATGATTTAATTATAATACAAAATAACATACAGAAAAATTATTCTTTCTTGTACCATTTTGTAAAATTTTATAAAATTTGGGATTAAAATGTAATTAACCTAAGGCTTAGGGTATCAAGTCTAATTACCAAAAATTTGGGTCTCTACACGATCATCCGACTGGTCGCCTAACTAGTCATCCGATAATAAGGGTGACAGTTGCAGTAGACAAGTGTTGCACCGATTGTCTGGACAGTCGAACGGCATGCACAAATTCAGGTGATTCATACAAACTCAAATTTGGTAAATGAATCATTTTTCTAAATTAATAAATCAATTAATAATTTTAAATAATACCATAACTATATTTTAATTAATAACTTAGCAATTTGCACCATCAAACCACAAACCACAAATTTTTACAATATCAGCTATAAAATTTTAGGCATTTTATGTTAGAAACTGGTTTTGAAATTCTGGAAAACAAAATTTTTTCCTAACTTTGGTCTAATATTTAGGTGGGACCCGTGTGTTAATTTTCACGGGTCAAAGTGGTAACGCGTTCTATGCCACGTTGTGATTCACGTGGTATAATTGGTTGCTCAAAACCATTATTGGGTGAATGGAAAATTGAAGCCAAAGTGTGCTTCATGGAAATGGAGTTTTTGGTGGAAATTTCTTTATGTTTGAAAAAGGCTTGTCCCACATTGATTTGGTGGGAAGTTTTGAATAGGTTTATTAAGGCATGGGATTGGAACTTGGGGTGTGCCTTAAGGGGTACCCAAGTTTTATGGAGAGGGAGGTTATGGGCAAAATGGGCTAGACCCATTGGACCTAAAAATCACCGCACGCGCCACCACCGCTATCCGTCCGGTCGGGCGGGTTGGGTTGGGCTTGTCCGGTCCAATACTTATCTTTTTGGGCCAAAAACATTTTAATTTTATTTTTCTAAAATTAAATTCAAATTTTTCCAATTTGTTTTTTCGAAAATTAAAATTCAAAATTGGGTCCGTTTTTCTCCCACCTGAACAGATTTAAATCTATTTTAAATTCAGAAAACCCGAACAGTGGATAACAGTTTTATCTGTTTGAATTTTGAACCCAACAGATTCAAATCTGTTTAATTCAAAACAGAACAGGTTCATACCTATTCAAAACAGGTTAGCACCTGTTTAATTCAAAACCAATAGCCACCACTTCACCTATATAAATAGGTAGTCCCTCATTTGATATTTCCATTCAGAAAATTCGTACTTCCCTTCTGCTAATATATTCTGCATTTTGCTGCATTTAATTTTTGTAAGAAATAGTGTAAACATTTAGTGTGTTCGTTGTTCGAATAAATTGTAGCGCTGCATTTATTCGTTGATAGATCATTTTATCTTGGGAGAAAGATGTCCATATTCTGAAAGCATCGTGGAGAGGACGAATCTGTCTTAAGGACACAGTGTCGAACACTGGACTTGATTAGAATATTATTCAAGAAATTAATCAAGTAAGTATTTTATTTATTTTCTGGTTTTTTTATTTATTTAAATCAGATTTTGATTTTGATTTTGATTTTGTTTTTGTAACAAAATAAAAAATTATTTTATTTATTTTATTTTATTTTACTAGTTTGATTTTTGTAATCAAACAAATTCTCTCATTTTCTTTATATCTTATGTATTCTATTTATTGTTAAGTACACAACAAATGAAGGTTGTCCAACAGTCTTAAGATAGATTAATTTTGTGTCTTCATTGTATTTAATTTTCTGTGTTTTCACAGAGTGATATTCTGGTTGGAAAATACAAATAGTAATTATAAACTATTTGACAAATAGTAGTAATATACTGTCTATTTTATTTGACAACTAGTAGTAATATACTGGTGCCATTAACAATTGCAGAATATTATTTGGTGTTACAAAAAATTATTGTGGTATTTTATTTTTCTAGTTTTAGTAATAAGGAAAATAAAATTATTTGGTGTTATAATTTATTTTCTGATTTTAGTAACTAGAAAATTAATTTGTGTTTTGGTTTTTTCTAATTTTTGTAATAAAATATTATGGCCACTGCAACTGAAACTGCAACTGGAAGTGGTACTCCAATTGTTACACCAACACTAGTCCCTATCCAGAAGCATGTTCAAGTACCAATAAATCATGGAGAAAAAGGAGAAAAATTTAACGGTACTGAGTTTAAAAGATAGTAGCATAAGATGCTGCTTTATCTTACAGTTCTAAATTGGCCTGGTTTCTCCGTGAAGAGGCTCCATCACTTAAAGAGGGTGAAAGTGATTGGCAAGTTATTGCGTTGTAGATGCTTGAAAACATTCAGATTTCCTGTGCAAAAACTACATCCTCAATGGCCTTGACAACATGTTGTATAATGTTTATAGCCCTCTGAAGTCAGCAAAAGAATTGTTGAATTCATTGAAGAAGAAATACAAGACAGAGGATGCGGGCACGAAGAAATTTGTCGTCGGTAAATTTTTGGATTTTGTTATGGTAGACTCCTAAACGGTAATTTATCAAGTTCAAAATTTTTAAATAATTTTGCATGATGTTCATTCAGAAGGTATGTCTCTTAGTGAGTCTTTCTAAGTCGCTGCATTAGTGGAAAAGTTACCATCGGCTTGAAAAGATTTCAAAAATTATTTAAAACATAAACGTAAGGAGATGACTACGGATGAATTGATTGTAAGATTGAGAATTGAGGAAGATAACTGTAAGGCTAAAAAGAGGAATGGGAAAAATCCCATTGAATCCAAGACTAATGTGGTTAAACAAGTTTACAAACCACATAACAAAAAAAGGAAGTTTACTGGATATGGTCCTAAACAAGGCGACAACAATAGCAACAAGAAGTTCAAAGAAAAATACTATAACTATGGCAAGACTGGACATCGAGCTTTTGACTACCGCCGCGCTAAGAAGGATCGCGGAAGTACAAGCAAGAAGACTACTAATCAGGCTAATGTAACTGCACTAGATTACATCTCTGACGGAGTGAATGACATCAGCTGTGGTGTCTGAGGCTAATTTGGTTGGAAATCCCAAGGAATGGTGGGTTGACACTGGGGCAACTCGTCATATTTGTGCGGACAAGAAGATGTTCACTACCTACAATGAGATTGCAAATGATGAACAACTTTCCATGAGAAATTCTTCTACTTCTACTGTGGCTGGACAAGGAAAGGTGATCTTGAAGATGACATCAGGGAATGAACTGACCCTCAACAATGTACTACATGTACCTGACATTCGGAAGAATTTAGGCCAAGTTTGGGGACTTTAAAAAAAGCTAAAAAGCCAAAAAGTTACTCAAAAAATTAAAAAGTTAACACTATTCACCAAAAGTCAACAATTACGGCTGCACAATTTGCAATAACTTTCATCATTATAACTGCTTCATCACCTGGCATGACACGCCATGAGCTTGGAATGCCCAGTAAAAACACACACATCCCTATATCTTCTATCAACCAATCAACCATACATAGGACAAATTGGGTAACATCACATGCAAAATTACAACAAGGTTCTATGAATTAGGGGTTTACCTAGACATCTAGGATCCCCCAAAGAGATCTTTCTACCCAACCACAAGGCTGAACACCGGATTACTCAGACTCCCCCTTTTGCTGCTTTGCAGACCTTACCACCTATGCCCACCTCCTGGTTATTTACCGGTTAGTGACATTGATGGACCTCAAAAGGGACGGCCAAACAAGTGGGCTCGCTTACACCCAAATCGTGCCTAGCGCTCGCTTACACCCTGCACATACCATACCAAATCGTGCCTAGGGCTCGCTTACACCCTGCACATATCATACCAAAGGGCTCGCTTACACCATGAAACCACCGCATAGAGTCTGAATACATCCGTGTCAACCTAGGGGCTCGTTTAGACTGCTTGCGCAAGACTTAACTCATTTGGTTTTAATTCCATTCACATGTTCAATACATAAATCATTCTGAAGCACAAGGGTGAACGTCACCCACTACCAACCCCTTTCCATTTCCCATTTATTAGATCTTTTGCCAAGCAAGCTAGTCACATTCGGTAATTCGGTAATATAAAAGAGCATGAGACAAACATAAGAAATGAAATGTAGCCCATCATAATCTTACATAGGTATGGTAAGGCAAGAAAATAACATTAGGCATGCTTTAAAATACTTAGAGACAAACAACACAACAAAACACCATTTCCAGCACTGTTCGGTTCTGCAGGGCTAACAAGAACGCTTTGGTAAAAATTCTTATAGGTCAAATTAGGGCCTAAAATTGCACAGAAACAATATTCAATCTGTCTAGTTTCAGTTCCAATTTTCAGAAGCTGTACAGTACCTCCACAAATTCATCTACAAACTATATTCGAAAACCTGTCCAGATTTGTCACCCTTTGGGGAAACTAGCTTTTCTCTCAATCTACCCGATGGTTTTCACTCAAATAAAATCTGTTGGAAAGAGGACTCAGAGTCCTAAATTTTGATAGAAGAACCAACATGAGGTGATTTTTCTAGAATATTATAAAATTTCTAAAAGTGGACTGTTTTTCAGAGATTCAGGACCAGATTTTTCAACAATTTATCCAAGCCCTAAAAACAAACAATTTGGAGCTAATAAAATTTTTACAAACTCTAAACACACCAAATATCCTACCATAAATTCAGATTTGAGAATTAAATAGATTTGATATTTATTTTAAATTAGGGAAGTTGCAGCAGTGCCTAATTTCACAAATTTGTAAGACAATGGCAATTGATCATATCCACACTTCAACATACACCAAAAACCCTATTTACCATTAATTTGCAAC